GTTGCTGCTGCTGCTGCTGCTTCGTGTGTGTTTAATCATAAAAGTCCTTGTTGAAAAATAAATTACTAAATTCTTTAACAGCTTCTATTCCCTTGGCTAGTGTCCAAACAACTACTTAGATGCCCTGGCATTGATTTTTCATTAAGAAAAGTAATGCATCACTGCACTCAGCTAAGGCTCTTGACTGGCTGTCAAACAACCAATCAGCTTTCAGAGAGAAGGTTTGCTTTCACTCTGTGAAGGGCGGAGACCAGCCTATGAACTCACAGACTCGGGTCCCACCACCATTGCTGCCACCTCACTGTCCCTCCACGTCCCAGGGTTGAAAAGGATAGAAAAGGCCAGCCTGAGGGGGCTGCCTAGGGCAGAGAGGTCAGCTGCAGGGCCAGCAAAACAAGACACAAGGTCAAAAACACAGGGCTGAGGCCTGGCAGAGGGAAAAAACACGGGCCACCAACCAGCCAGTTCCAGTGTTAGGAACCGATTCGGGTCCTCCGAAATTCACATATCTAAGTCCTAACTCCCAGTCCCCCAGACTGTGCTACTCTATGGATGCAGGGTCTTTAAAGAGGTAACTGAGGTTAAATGAGGTCATTAGGGTGGATGTTAATGCAATGTAACAGGTACCCTTATAAAAAGGGGACATTTGGACAGACACACACAGAGGGAAGATGATGTGAAGACACAGGGAGGAGACGGTTGTCTATAAGCCAAGGAGAGAGGCCTCAGAAGGAACCAACCCTGCTGACACCTTGATCTTGTATTCTAGCCTCCAGAATTGTGCGACAATAAATTTCTGTGGGTTCAGCCACCCAGCCTGTGGTCCTTAGTTGTGGCAGCCCCGGCAAACTCATACACTAGCAAGTCATGGACCATCCAGAGCCTCAGTTTCCACAACTGCTAAATGGGAACTCCTAGCCTGCTGACAGGATGTCTAACTTCAGTCTCAGGATCGGGTCCTGGGGTTCTGGGCCGCACGGCCGACGAAGACATAAGACCTGAAGACTGCGGGTCACAGCTGGAGGTGTGAGAGCTGGGACAGGGCCCTGGTCCTCTCCGGCCCGAACCCCAGGGAAGGGAGGGGAGCCGCCTCTCCAGCTCTTCAGTGGCTGCGGGAGAAACAGGACTTGCATGGGAGGAGGGAACGAGAACAGAACAGAACCTGGAGAGTTCCAAGAAATTACAAAGAAAAAAGGACCACAGTTAAGTCCCTGGGAGTTTTCTGGATAAAAACTATACCTTTATTTGTACTGTACTCTGCAGGTCACAAAACACTTCATGCCGTGGGGTGTTTTTAACCTATCTGAAGTCAGGAATCCCTGTGAGAATCTGATGAACGCACTTACCACAGAGAACAGTACATACCAGCGTGGTCCTATCCGGCAACAGTGAGAATGTTCCATGCCGACACTGTCCAATAGGGCAGCCGCTAGACACAGGTGGCTAGCGAGACTTTAAATCTTTTCATTCCAATTATTTTTAATTAAATGTCCATCTGTGGCTCGTGACTTTTGTATTGGACAATGTAGTGATTGACAGATGATTCCGGAGACTTTGCAGAACCCCTGCAGCTCACCCACGAAATGCCCTTGTCAGTGGACCCCAGGCTAAGAACCACTTGGGATGATCGCACTGTCTTCAAACTAAGCATCCTTTTTGAGCTCACCAGCACACGCGTCATCTCGTTTAGTCCTGCCAGCACCCGGGTGACAGAGGCGGGACACTCATCCCGGCATTCATGCCACCACGGACTGTGACGTGAGAACTGACTCCCTGAAACCACTTCAGAGGGTGTTATGAGTTGAGATGAACTGATATGAATTGAGGCAACTTCTTTCGAGTCATCCAAAGAACCTGAACTCACACTGGTACCCCTCTAAGCGAGGGCTTCTCTTCTTGACGCCCCCAGCAAGAACAGCATTGAAACCAGCTTGGCCTTGATCATGGAATGTTCTTCCATTGAGGTTCATCTCTGGCCTTCGCCCTTAGGAGGCAGACAGAGATGCCTGTTCCCCAATCGGCCTGCAGGATCCCCAACGTCAACTTCATGCTGGGAGAACACTCTGTCTGTCTTCCTGATAAAGCAGGCTCCTGCTCCAGCTCATGAAATCCCAGGCAAGTGCGTGCTCACAGAGCACGTGACCCGCCCCGGTCCCACCACCCAGTCATCCTTCACTCTGCCTCCAGGTTTCCATAGGAAATGAGCCACACGGAACAAGAACACTCCAAATTCAATAAAACTCACTCTCGTCCTGCGTTTCGTATCTCCACTCACTACTCACTTCTAACTTCTAGAAAGTCCCCTCATTCACCAGGCAGACTCAGTAGCCTGAAATTCTACTCTCGCCAACTCTTCCTCAAAAATCTCCCCCGAGGCCCAGCCCGATGCCACACGTCTCCATGAAAACTTCTAACCCACAGGCCCCCCAGTCCCAGAGTATGCCACTTACACACCTCCAGAACACTTTTTCTATCATGCCTTGCCTCACTCCTTGAACATGAGAGCTATACCATGTTCCTCTTTAAATTTCTAACCACGTTTCACACAGCGTCATGGGAAGTAGACACTCAGCAGACCCATGGTTCCCAAGCTGCTAAAATACAGATAGTCCGGCCGGTGTGGCTCAGTGGTTGAGCGCTGACCCACGCACCAAGAGGTTGACAGTCCGATTCCCGGTCAGGGCACATGCCCAGGCTGTGGGCCTGATCCCCAGTGGGGGGCATGCAGGAGGCGGCCAGTTGATGTTCTCTCTCATCGATGTTTCTATCTCTCCTTCTCCCTTCCTCTCTTTCTAAAATCAATAAAGACAATTTTATTTATTTATTTATTTTTAATCCTCACCTGAGGACATTTTCCCATTTTTTGTTCAGATAGAGTGAGAGGGAGGGAGGGAGAGGGAGAGAGAGAAACATCAACATGAAAAGGACACATCGAGTGGCTGCCACCTGCACAACCCAACCAGGGCCAGGGACAAACTGCAACCGAGGTATGTGCCCTTAGTGGGAACCGAACCCGGGTCTCTCTGGACCGCTGAGCCAAACTGGCCAGGGCAAAAGAAAACAATTTTAAATAAAAATAAATAAAATAAATACAGATAGCTGGGCTTCACCCCCAGCAAGGCCCGGGTGAGGCCCAGGAACCTGCATTTCTAACAATCCCCGTTTATCCTGATGCTGCTGGTTCAGAGACCCCACTTTGAGAATCACTGCAAGAGATGTCTACGGAATGAATAAATGGCTGAATAAATGAAAATTTCCTTTAAAGTCAAGATAAACAATATTACCAACATTGACTTCTAGGTGAGGAGCAAAAAACGGCAGGGAACCAGAAAAAAAAGAATTTTAAGTATCAGAAAAACTTCAGGGTTACTATTTTGTGTTCTCTTAGCTCTTACTGTATAACATCTCATGATCAGACCAGAAATAAACAAAATAGGTTCATTTTTCTGACTCAACCACATACTAAAACACATTCTCTGTATGAGTGTAGATGCAGAAAATATGTTCACTAATAATGCTTATTTGGGGATATTGAGACTTCATCTAAGCTTTACAATTTTGCACCTTTGTAGAACATGTGAACTTATTTTTACTGTAATCATATATCAGTTTTATAAAAATAAAGCTATGTAATAAATAATGTAGAAAGTAATACACACACACACACACACACACACACACACACATTATCAAGAAACACTTTGACTCAGAAAGTCCAAGACTAAAAATTTTTCATAAGAAAATAATCAAAAAGGAATGTAAAATGTACCAAGAGGTCACCGGTTAGATTCCCGGTCAGGGCACATGCCCAGGTTCTGGGCCCAATCCCCAGGTGGCATGCAGGAGGCGGCCAATCAATGTTCTCTCTCATCAATGTTTCTATCTCTCTCTCCCTCTCCCTTCCTCTCTCTCTAAAATCAATAAAGAAAAAAAAATTGTTTTTTTAATGAATGTAAAAATGATGTCCAAGGAGAGTCACTAAAGCCCTATTTATAATAACCAGAAACTTGAAACAACTTAAATGTTTGACAAAAAGAATTAGAGTCAATAAATTATGATATTTCCATAAATGGAATACTATAAAGCATTTAAGCATTTTTAAATGTCCTTGTAGGGGAATATTTATTGACATAGGAAGAGATACATAATATTAAAACTGAAAAACAATCAAGCTAAAAAACAGTATAAACTGTGTGATCTACAGTTTATATTTTTATCTACTTTAGATATAGAGAAGTAGATAAAAATATAAATACGGATAGAGAGCTTTTTATCCAACTGGGAGTTAGAACAAATTATTATTTAATTTTAACATTAGTATTTTAATCATTTCTGCAATAAACACATATTGCTTGTGTAATATTTTTCCAGGATATTAAAAACATGATAAGATTTGGGAAATTTATAGTCTCCATTTCTTCCCTTGAGGGAGCACAGAGGTTGAAGCATGAGCATTTTTATAAGCTTTGCTCCACCCCTCCCTTCTATAAACACCAGTTACAACTTGGACTCCATCTGTATCAACAGATTCCTCTCCTTTTTCTAAGTTTCCTGGACCTGTTCAAAGGTGATTCCTAACTCAAAGAAGCCTAACTTTGAGTGACTCATGACACCACTCCCTGAGCATCAGCTTTGGAGAATGATGTTCACAATGGGATCCATCTTTACCTGGTCACCCAACCAACTGTCATTTTTCAGAAACCAAGGCTGTCTCACATACTGGCTTTCAGCAAGGTGGGTTGCTTGGCAACCACCAAGGAACTGGGAAGCCGGAAGAAGGCACTGGCCAGAGATATTTTATGACCAAAGTGAGCTGCGCTACATGTGTCTGGTTGCATTCAAGGTAACCAAATAAGAGATAACACCCGGCTATTTTTGCATCATGAGGAAAAATACTTGGCTCCCGCCCAGGAGGGCAATTACCTAAAAATCTTGGCAGGCCCCAAGGAATGAGAAATGGTAACTGATACGAGGATGAAGGGGGGAAAAAAATCACTGACCTTCATAAATACTGATGATATGAGGATGGTTGAGGGATGACATAATCTCAATCTCTCGTCTGATGTGAACCATGTCTTGTTCATCCTTAATTTTGTCCTTACGAATGGATTTTATAGCAACCTGCAAAGTCAGGAAATGAAATGTTACTCAGAGAACTAAACAGATGCAAATCAGCCATTTGGGGGAGTTTGGAAAATAAATACAGATGTTACTAGTTGGCAGAATCCACAATAACCAAAACAAAGCTTCGAAAGACCCCGTCATGTCTTTCATTTAGAGCAGAAACACCCTTCTCCCGACAACAGAAAACATCAGGTTTTAACAGCCTGGGGTTTGGGATGGTGGATTTTTTTGTTTTGTTTTGTTTTCATAAAGCGGAGGCTCGCTTCACGTGGCCAGATTCATTTACTCTAGGAATCCCGACCCGTTGGAGAAAGAAAATCGGAGAGCTCGGTTTACAGGGTATCGATGATTAAACGTGGAGAGGTGAAATTAGCATCACTCAGCTCCTCCGGCAGCTGCCACGGCACAGCTACACGGTGCACGTCCTGTCCGGGGGCCACTTCTGCTCAAACCTCGGGTTTGCAGACTCCGGGTTATGCCCTGTTTACGCACTTGCTCAGGAGCCAAGTCCTTCTTACATCCTTCCTCTTGCCCAGGGCACCGTCAGCAGCATGCCCGTGACAAGGCTCTTCTGGAGGAAAATCGGGGTAAAACCAAGGGAGTGACAGCTAGACTCCCTGCCCAGCCCCGGTTGATTTCCAAAGCTCCCTACCGATGTTGCCTGCAAATCCAAACCATTGAGCAGTGCCAAGGCCAAGACACAGAGCAATTACTCAAAGGAAATGCATACATAAAAAGGCATGACATGACAGTGGGAATCTAAAGAGGAAAAATATGTTTGCCAATGGATTCTCTTGGCCCAAGAACAAGTTGGTTGGTGATTGAATTCTCCGTGGCTCTAATGGGGACAAAAGCTACTTAGGTGGGGGAGGTATCCATGGGTAACAAGGAAGCCTGCCAGCCTATGTACTGCCGGCTCTGAAAGCCTGCTTAGACACCTCCATCCCGGTGCGTCTGTGCCTCAACTTACCTGTCCAGCACTTTCTTGCTAACGCAACAAGAACTGGGAAGCTATTTTCATTTATTACTGTTTTGCTATTTACTGACCTCCCCAAAACAGGTTAAGTCAGCAGCTCCCTGTACATCCCCTTTGCAGAAACTTCCCCAGTTGTGATTCGATCAGTATTTGTGTCATCACTTGACTCTCCGCTAGTGGAGACTCACTCACTGTTGTATCTCAGTGCTTAGACCATGCCTGGCACACGGCAGGCCTGAGAAAACACTTGGTGTGAGCAGGCAGGCAGGTAGACAGAACGGGAAGGGGAGGAGAGCAGGAAGGAGGAGAAGGGGAGACAGGGGTTGATGCTCCGAGGTGATGGGGGCGCGGACTCAGACGTGAGAGTGGAATTGGAGCAAGAGAAAAGGGACACCGCCGAGACAGGCACGATGCGAGGATGACCTGGGAGTTCCTGGACATCCTACCTACACGGCAGTCGAGGAATAAAGCAAGCAGATGGGAAACACGCGGCATCCTGCTGGATAAAAGGCGGCTGCACAGACATGAATGAGCTTCCAGCTACAAGGCCCCTTTCACCACGGTGCCAGGCTCAGAGCGACCCCCGGTCTTCACGACAGCCCCATTGAGTCTACGGCAAGAAAAGCCTCCGTGTGCTTACGTCAGAAGTGAGGATATGACTGGAAGGCTTTATTTTATCTGAGCAGGGCTGGTGATCCTGAGAGCGGGTTCTTAGGGGAAGCAGACAGTGAACACACACAGGCCTGGAGGATGTGGGTGGCTGTTGGACCGACTCCTGCATTCCTCCATGAACTAAAGATGGGAGGAGGGGAGAAACCACCCCTTTGATTTTGCAGCAAGCTGAACTTGGCCTTGAGAAGGCCCTGTTGTCGAATGACAATAGAAATATATTCTTTCACCATCCAGGGTCAGGGGAGGGTGGTGACATTCTGGGGGGTAAGAAAATAAGTCCACTTGTCAATTCCCCCCAGACGGGAGCCAGAGGCCGAGGGTCCCACGGTGCATTTGCCAGGGGGGTGCTGCCAGCCCAGTGTGAAAAGGGGTGTACCCGCATTCTAATAAACCCCACTCAGCACTGAGGAAACCAAAAGGGCACCAAAATGTTAATAAGCACGGCGCTGGTCCCTCCACAAAGCGTCCCTCTTCCAACGATGAATCTTCCATTGAAAATGTGAAAGAGGGCTCTTCTGTCCCCTACATCAAAGGGGCGGTGGGAAGCCAGGGGAAGCCAGATGCTAGAAATCAATCAGAACCGTGCAACCTCCAAGGCCACAGGGAAGGCCTTCCGCGCAGCGCCCGGAGCACGGAGATGACCCGAGGTCACGGGGGCAGTGAAGCAAACCACCGAAACGACGATAGTAACCATGCAGGTGTCCGTGGAACACTTACTGTCCGGTCCAGACACCATGCTGAGAGCTTTACCCCTCAGAGCTTCCCATCCTTCTCATCGCTCAAGCTTCAGCTTCGCGCCACCCCCTGCGGGAGGCCCTCTCTGACCTCCCTGGTGGATAAGGCCCCCCCGGCCACCTCCTCTACACCTTTCTCCGTTTTCTCTCTTTGGGGGCAATTTGCACAGTCTAAAATTGTCTTGTTTCTTTGTTGCATAGCCATTCAGCCTGTGGGCCGAGTCCAGCTCGAGGCTTGTTTCTGTAGGACTGTTTCTGTGGGACCCAGGGAGTGAAGAATGGCTGTCACATTTTTAAACAGTTGTTTAAAAAGAAGAAGGATATCTATAAATGTAGCTTCCGTAAGGGAGTGTAGTGCCTGCTTCACGAAGTTGAAGGATAAACCGAGCCAGGGCACAGTAAAGCAATATCACAATGGTTAGCGACATGGTTTGAGTCCTAGCTAAAATCCCACAATAGCTGTGTGACCTTGGGCAGGTTACATAACCTCTCTGTGCTCCAGTTTCCTCATCTGTAAGTACAGAGATTACAGTACCAGCTTCAAACGTGTCAGGTGCTTAGAATGTGCCTGGCCCAGGGTAGGGGTTCAATAAATGTCAATCATGCTTAACCCGAAGAGAGTGCCCGAGAAATAGGGCCTCTTCCCTTCATCCTCAGAACTTGAATTCCTCCTGGTTCCTCATGGTGCAGGGAGGGAAGGCCTTGGGAATGGAAAACACATTCACTCCAAAGACAAAGGACTGGAGCATCTCTCTGGGTCTCTCACTGTACCCTCATCTGAAGCGGCAGTAGCTCAGAGCGGCTGGGGCCCACCATGATCACCGTGGCTCCTGAATCTGAGACCAGGCAGATGAACCGCCCGAACCTGGGACCGTCTTCCCCATCTCCTTCTTGTGGTTGCCCATGCAGGTGAACAAGGGAATAAACTCTTCCTCCTTAGAATCCGAAGTCTGACTCAGGCGACCCAGCTCAGCTTCTCTGGATGTGTTCATCCATGACTCCTCTGAGCGCCGACCAGGTACCAAGCACAGGAGGCAGCCAGCAGGCCTCTGCCCCAGCCCTCAGGGGGAGGGGAGAACAAGGACAAGACGGAAACACTGCACAAATAATTACATAATTCCCCTCACGATCAAAGGCTACCAAAGATGCACGGAGAGGCCAGCATTACGGAAAAAAACTCCCTCCAGTTTTCCTTGCCCTCACCACATCTACAAAGAAAGACCGAGATAAGTAAAGGAAGAGATTACCAAATGTCTGAAACCATACACCCTCCAAAAAAAAAAAAAATCCAATTTGTTCTTGCACGAGTCAGATTTCACTCCGCCTTCGAAATGACTGGAGCCGGGAAGTCAGGTGTCTGAGCTGAACACGCGGCACAGAACTTTCATAAATGTCCCCACGTCTAGACGGCACCGTGTGCCTTATAAAACGGTCTGCTTTTAAATCAGGCCACCCCACAGTTTAATGTTTAAACCGTTCACAGCCGCAGGTCTGGCCGAGGACCTGCCGGCGCTGCCCTGCGGTGCCTGCCTGTTGGAGAAGCAAGCTCAGCCCAGCCAATTCCCATCCCTTGTTAAACGCAACGGGCCCACTTGTGCGGCGGTGGGTTTGCCTTCCTGTGGATAATCACCCGAACCACCTGCTCTGCAGCCTGCCGCCGCGGCCTCCGTGAGCGCAGAGAGCTTGGGATCTCGGCAGGGTGATGGGGAAGCAGAGCAGACGGGAAAAGCTTTTCCTGGCTGGCCGACCTCGGGCAAGCCTGAACCTCACGGGCCTCAGTTTCCTTATCTGTAAAATGGGGTTAGCAAGGCGTATCTCCTGGGGCTGCGGCAGGGAGTGAAAATAACGTGAGTACAGTGCCTGGCACACAGTAGGTGCTCACGGAATGGTGGTGACTGTAAATGAGGCCCATCAGATACCGGTTTTTGGTCCATGTTTCTGGGGTAAGGAGCCAGCAGCAAATCATCTCACAGACCTCTCCCTGCTCCATTTCCCCCACACCGCTTCTCCCCACATTTATACTGATGGAGGAGCAGGTGGAGATTCGTATCCAGGCAGCCAGCTGTCTTCCCAGCCTGCTTTGGGGCGCGGGGGTGCTCTGGGCAGGCTGTGTATCCGGGGCTCGAGCCAAGAGAACCACTGCCTTCGTCTCTCCACAGTCGCCTCCCGCGGACGCTCATTCAGTGCCCTGTCGGCCGGCAGGGGGTTCCAGAGCAGTGCGCTCTTACAGGGATCAGGGGCATCTTGTTAAAATGCAGATTCTGAAGCCAAAGGTCTAAGGAGGGGCCTGGGATTCTGCATTTTTAGCAAGTTCCCAGGCGATGCCAGCAATGCCGGTGCAAGGACCCACTCTGAGTAGACCTCGGCACTCTGCCTTTGGCCCTAACACATCACGTAACTCCGTGACAATATTCCCAACATCAGCAGTGACTAGCAGTCATTATGTGTGAACCACATGCCAGTGAGCCTTCTCATTTAATCCTAATTACAACCTCATGTCAGAGGGGAAGAAACTGAGGCACAGAAGATAAAAGTATTACCCAGAGTCGTACAGCTTGCAAACAATGGAGCTAAGGCTCGAACCCCGGCAGGCTGAGCCCATAGGCTGCTGATTC